GTTGCTGTGAGCTAGGATGACGCCACGGCACTGTAGCCCGGGCAACACAGTGAGACTCTGTCTCAAAAAAAAAAAGTTTCTAGACAATGCCAAATGTCTCCTGGTGGGTAAAGTTTTCCCCAGTTGAGAACCACTGGCTTACACCCATTGACTGTTCCAGAGGAACGTGATCTGCCCTTGAATGTCTTTTTATCTACCTCCCACAAAAAAGGTCTGTAGTCCTTCAAGATGGACCCCAGAAGGGCAGCAGGTTTCCTTGGTCACACACATTTGAGAAGTACCGCATGCTGTGGGCTCGCATCTTGAGGCAGCACCATACACCATAGCATATTAGAGGCTCTGGGAAGTCCTACAGTGAAGAAACCTCTTTAGCCTGGTTTTCCCAAACATACTTGACCATGGAACTCTTTTCCTGTAATAACTATTAACTTTGCATAGGACGCACTGTACACATTTGCCCTAACTAGGCCCCCTGCCTTGGTGTCTCTTGCCTTCTCTGCATGGTAGACTCCTATTCATTCTGCATGGCCCAGCTCACAGTGTACACCTTCTGTGAAGCCTCACTTCTCCCTTCTGGTCTCCTTCCCTGCTCTGTATCCACACACATTCATGCAATCACCTTCACGTTTTCTGTGTTACTCCAGTGAAGTTCTTGAGGGCTGGGCCCTGTCCTCGCCAAGTGTCACTAGAGGATGCTCGGTAAATGGCTGTTGGGAGAATTCACTGATGTCCAGGTGAATGGGCCACGTTTCTAGGAAGGGGAGTCACTCTTGTCCCCTTGTTTCTTTGCTTGGTGTGCAGAGTTCTTCTGTACTATGGTCTACCTGAGTAATTTCCCTTCTCCAGCCCTGGTCTGGTAGAGTTTGAAGGGGTAGGGTGATGTCTTTGCTGTGGACTCTCAGTCAATGCCTAAGGAAGGAAGGGAGGAAGGAAGAAAGGGAGGTAATTAGGACCTAGTGACTTTCTAGGAGGAAGGCAAGAGGACAGAGGTTAAGTATTTTGCTTTCAGGAGAAAGAAGGTTCCTAATAGAGTTTGCTCCCAACTTTTAACATCTGGAAGAAAAGCTCTTCCCTACATCTAGTACCTACAGAGTTGTGGTATGACCAAAATTGGATAATTTACTTAAAGCACCTAGCACCGTGCCAGGTTTATACTAAGTGCTCATTAAACGAGGGCCTTGACTTTGCCAGCTGCTGGCCCTGGGATGTCCTGTTTTAGACCTGGGACAGTTTGTGACTGGTGCAAGGGGGCTGATGTAGGGAGGACTCGGCCAACTGCCACTTGCTGTGCCCTCTGCAGGAGCTGGAAGATCTTCAGAAGAAGCCTCCCCAGTACCTGCGGAACCTGTTCAGCGATGACGCCAATGTCCTGGTGTGGCATGCTCTCCTCCTGCCCGTGAGTTTCCTCTGTGGGGATTATGGCTTTGGATTGGGGATGACTTAGGCCAGGGGCATGGGTAGGGAAGGTTAGGACTAGGCAAGAATTTTTCCTGCCTTTAGGATCCTTTTATTGAAGGTTATCATTGGTGGAAGGGGTCTCTCTCTGGATTGATTGCTTCGGAGGTCCAGGCAGACTGATGAAGATGCTAAAAGATTTAGTAGTAGACCCCTTCCTCAAACCAGTAGCCACTAAGCCCACCATAGAGGCTTCAGCAGACAAACAGCATCAAAGACAAGAAGAAATAAAGATCTCTTGGATCTTTGTCACGGCTAGGGGTAAACTTCCAGTTTCGCACAGTTAGTAGAATTTGCTTCCCTAAACCTAAAATGTATTTTGTTTTCTTTTAAAGATCTTATTTCAGAAAATTACTGTTACATATGACAACACAGTTAGCTCATCTCTGTTGTTCTCATTTTTCTCCATTTGTTGTTTGATATCATCTTGATAAAATCTCCCTTTGAAAGCAATATTCCAAAGAACCTATCAAAATGCAGGTTCTCTCCTTTGTCATACAATTATTAGTGACTAAAGATGCCTTCTTGGAGAAATTCATTTATTGAATTTCATATATTCAACTTTTGGTTACTTGGAAATAAAAATTAAGACATTTGAGCTTTTTGTTAGTCAAAGCTCTGGAATATCAAGAGAGCAATTCATCTTATTATTTAGGATTTGGACACCTACTGACAGTGCAGTGGCCTCGGTCGTGTCACCTTCTCTTCCACCTGACCCGTAGTCCAGAAAAATGGAGAAAGGCTTGAGTCAGGTCAGCACTGGGGACTCTGTCCAGTTCCTTGGGCTGCTGTGTTAAAGCAATCCACTTACCTGGCTTGCAGTGAGGATATCTGTTCTGGGCTCAGGTACCAGGGGAAGAAGATGCTAGAAGGAGCTACAGGGACTGATTAGATCTCCAGTGAGACCAGCTTTGAGATGATGAAGTGGCAGGAGGAGCAGGGCAGAAGGGAGAAGAAGGTGAGTGGTAGGAAAACCTAGGAAAGATCACATTGGGGAGAATACTATGAAATCAGGGGATCTCAATGGTTGGCAAGAGCAGGATGGCTAGGTGTGCCCCCAGAATGGCCCAGCCATACAGGGATCCTGAGGAAGCACACTAGCTGGGAAGAATCCCAGGGCTGGAGGACCAAAGCTTGGTGCAGAATAACTAGCTAAGGGTGCCTGAAGGTGCCTGGCGAAGCCATAAAGGAGGGGATGGTTTGGCCAGCAGGAGAAGGAGAATGGAGAAAAGTCTTTGGGGTGAGCAGACACATTGTTCCTCAAAGGCTCGGTCTCAATTCACCGAGGTGGCCCCACTTGTCACATCTGGGTCATGGAAGGTTTCAGCTGGACGAGCCTTTTGGAGCTCATAGTAAGAGTTCCCATTCCTTGAGTCTCCTATGGACTGAGCGCTGTTTTGAGTACATGACATATGAGATCATATTGAATCCTTTCAACCAGCCGATGAAACCATAAAACCTTCCTTTTATGGTTGAGGAGAAGGAAACCAAGGAGGTTAAGTAACTTGTCTGTGGTAACCCAGAATAAGGTGGCAGGGCTAGAATTCAGCTGACTTCAGAGTCTTCTCTCTTAACTACTCCATGAAAGATGAATGGTTTTCAAATTTGTTTTTAATAGCAACATGCTTCATTTAACCCAGAACTTAGAAGGCAGTAGGAGTTTCTCAGCTGACCTAAAGTACATTATGAAATCCTCTGTCTGGTCCTTCCAGTGTCTTCATTTTACAGATGAGGAAACTGAGCCCTAGAGAAGCCCGCAGTCACACAGCAGGCTGGAGGCAGAAAAGGGCCAGGTCCCGAGAGCTTTCGTCTCCACTATTCTGCTGCCCCCTTCCTCTGTTAAGAAGCCCTGCAGGCAGGACACACAGATACCGTCTGTCTTAGTCCACTTAGTGTTGCTATAAAGGATTACCTGAGGCTGGGTAATTTCAAAAGAAGAGGTTTATTTGGCTCATGGTTCCGCAGGCTGTATAAAAAGCATGGTGCCAGCATCTGCCTCTGGTGAGGACTCCGGCTGCTTCCACTCGTTGAAGGGGAGCAGGCATCACGTGGCAAGAGAGGAGGGAAGAGAGAGAGGGGAGGCACCAGGCTCTTTTTAACAACCAGCTGTTGGGGGAACTAACAGAGGGAGAACTCATTACTGTGAGGACCATTAGCCATTCATAAGGGATCTGCCCCCGTGACCCAAACACCTCCCATCAGGCCCCACCTCCAATGCTGAGGGTCGCATTTCAATGTGAGGTTTGTGGGGACAAATATCCAAACTATAACACCCTCCCATCCTGCTCTGAGGCCTCAGCCCTTGGCCCTGTCTTACCTCACAGGTCCAGCCCTTTCTTATCATCGAGACCACAAAAGCTGAGACATTATCTCCCCAGTAGTTCGTCTGTCCGTGCCTTATCTCAACATGCCCAAGATCACTGTGGTCTCCGGTTTGCCTGCTGCTAAGGAGGAGGAACTGTTGAAAACCTTGGCTCTGTGCTTAACGACACATGGCATTCTCACTCTCTTTGCCCTGTCTTATTAGTAACAAAGGTTCTGAAAAGATTTGGTGCTCTGGAACCAGCCTGAAGGCCCCTGTGCTCTGCACTGGGGTCATCCAAGTTCTGGGGTTCCTCCTCTTAGGGGTGCAGACTAGTGGTCACATGTGGAGACATGGAGATGTAGAGTCGACAGCGCTGGACACCCACCGGTGAGGCCGCTGTGGCCCTGGGCAAGTTACTTACACACACTGAGCTTGAGTTTTCTCATCTGTAAATAGAGCTGCTAATAGTCATGAGTTTCATACTTATCATAATAGCTGACACATGCAGTGCTTGCCATGTGCCAGGCCCTGTTCTAGGCCCTTGGCATAAGATAAGTCATTTGATCCTAACATAATAAGCCCTATGAGGAAATCTGCTATTATCCCCATATGGAAGCACAGAGAGGTTAAGTTACTTGCCCAATATCACACAGCTATTGAGTGGCAGAGCCAAGCTTCACACCCAGGCAGGGTAGCTCCAGGGTCTGTGTAACTCCCACCCTCTGCTGCATGGGCTAATGCATGTCAAGCCCTTAGCACAGGGTGGCACAGATAGGTGCTCAGCAAAGTCTTCAGTTCGCTCGAAGTCTGGAGGGTCTTCTAATGGCTCCTGGCAGCTCCCAACCCCTCAGTCATTTCAGCCCCTCAGTTTGGCTTTTTTTTTTTTTTTTTTAAGACAGAGTCTCACTCTGTTGCCTGGGCTAGAG